GCTCCGACAGTCTCCTGACCCCAAATCCTAAGGCACTGGAAGTGAGATAACCAAAGAGCTGCTGTCAAAGGGAAGAGAGTAAAGCCCTCCAGCCCTGTGGAGGCCCCTCCTGCCTCAGCTATCAGGGAGTGCCACCCACCCTTTCCTCAGCTCCTCACACTTCCAGAAAGGAGACCCAGGCAGCTCAGAGCAGCTCGGGGCTGCGGGAGGCAAGTCTGCACAAACACTTCCAGCAGCAGAGCCTCGCCGGACGCGGCTCGGGCCTGTGGGGGGGAACCCCCCCCCTCCCAGAGGCAGGGCCCAGAGCAAGCCTTGGAGATGACCCTCTCAGAGAACCAGGCTAATACTAGGCAGCTCATTGGGTCTAAGCCAACCTGTTCTTGACAAGCAGGCATACGGGTGGCCTTCCCCCCACCCTAGGCTCTCCAATGCCAGGAGGCAAAGCAGCCCATTGCACTTTTCCTTGGCTCAGTTAGGAAGTCTGTTGTCCTAGCAGGCCTCAATCTGCCTCAGCAACTCTCACCACCTTCAGAACCACTGGACCAACCAGACCAGTGAGGTAGATCTGGAATCAAGAAGGCCTGGGTTCAAGTCCTGGTGACCTCTAGGCTTACCTCTGTTTCCTCATCTACACCAGAGGGGAGCTGGAAAGCAATGTGGCGTTATGAAGCCAAGGAGGCCACACCGCCTGTACCCTGGGCCTCAGAGATTCCACCACTACACAGACAGTGGGGGGAAGTCACCAACAAAAAAGAAAGCATGCCACTCCCTATGGTGATAGCGGCATTTATGGCAATGAGGCAGAAGGAAGGCAGGCCCCCACCCACTGAGAATGGCTGCCCTCAGTTCAGCGGTCCAGGGAGGAATAGGGGAGCACCCAGAGCCAGCGGGAAGCCCAGGGCACCACTCGGCTCCGGCTCCACAGGCTCAGCGGATGTCTTTTCTCCAAGAGATCCAGGCAGCGATGTGCCCAGCTGCCCCCACCATCTGTGGTGTGCCCGGCTGCTGCTTTTGTCCTCTTCCTCTTTTTGTAGCTGTAAGAGATGGCTCAGCAAGGGGGACGGTACAGGGAAGCCTAAGTGACGTGTCCACCAGAAGGCTGCTTCTCGGAGCCCTTCTGGGCCTTCAGAAACCCAAAAACCCAAAAGGGCCCCCCACTAAGGGTACCTCCTCTAGGCCCCTCAGCCCCAGGATGATCTCAAGGCCCTCCAGCAACCCAAATCTCACTCCTCCAGCCCTTTGGGAGCCAAGGGCATTCCCTGTAAATTCAGTTTACAGATCGAGAAAAGGAACCTGCTTGCCATCCCTGGGGTGCTGGGTCCAAACCCAGGCCATTGGGGGGAGGGGTGGTGAATGTCCACTCTGCCTTGACTAGACCCACACCACTCATCAAAGGACAGTCGGGGAGCACCTTGTAGGGCACCAGACAAGACACAGGACACACCCGTCCCTTTTACCAGGTGAAGCAGAGTCAGCACTAACCAAAGCCAGGGGTCTCCTGATAACCCAGGCCCAGCCCACAAGGGCCCTCTAGCAGCAACATAGGGCAGAGGCCATCCCACGTCCTCTCCCTGCCGCCTTCCCAGTCTCCAAGAAGCCTTTTCAGGATGCCTGGGCCCACCAGCCTGTCTTCTTACTGAAGGTCCCCAACTCCCACCTCTACTGTGCCTTGTTTGTGCCAGCCCCCAAGAGCCCAGGAGCCGTCGCACAGCATCTGATGTATAGTGTAGACACTTAATAAATGCTTGTAGACAAGACACCTAGGAATGGGAAAACTCCAGTCTCAAAGGAGATAGGAAGGCCTGATGTCTGAAAAGGGGGAATTCTCCATACTCCAACGCCAGGCTTCTTAATCTGACTGGTTCCCATACGCTCCCAAAGAAAACCAAAGTTTGGGGCTACCCTAGTCCTCAAGTCCTGACTGATCAAGCCCTCCCCAACCCTTCATTTTCGATCCCTAACTCTAATCCCAAGGAATCTAGAGAGATTTCAAAGGGTCTGAACTTCGAATGGGAAGGGAGAGACATCTTTAGTTTCATGAAATGCCCCATTTCCTTCCACTATGAATGCAGGCAATGAGCCCCAACTGTGAGAAAGGGGGCCATCCCTAGGGATCAGCAGACTGCCCATGCAAGGAGTCCAGAAGCCTGCTCTGGGGCAGCTTTCTCAGGCTCCCATGTCCCAGAGTCCCCGGCTGCTCACAACTGTCTGGGACAGCCTAAGGCTCACGGGCTCTTCCATTTGAAGACCTCAGGGCCGACCTAGGAACAAGTCCCTTAAGCGGCTGGAGCCTGGATCCTGCGTTCTTCTACCTTTAAGATAAAGCCCCAGGAAGAGGAACAAGACTGGCTCCATGTGCCTTCCTACCAAACTCACTGTGGGAGGTTAGCCCCGGAGCTGCCCTCCACTCCCAGTGGTCATTCTCAGCTCATTGCACTCAGCTGAGGCCCAACTGCCTTCTTTCCAAACCCAAGGAAGCCTCCAGCCTAGCTAGACATGAGGCAAAGTCAGGCCCCCTCCCAAACAAAAGCTGTGACCTAGCTTGTTGGGGCTGGGGGGGGGGGGAAGTAGTCCTCCTCCCTCCTGAATCCTGACAGGCCTCTCCAATCCAGTCACAGCTGGGCAGCACCCAGCCACTGCCCTTACGGAGGAGCCTTGTTATCTCCTCCTGCTCCTCACCATCTGAGGCCAGCAGGACCAACAGAAGACCGTCTAGGGGCCACCCTGCCCCAAGGACTACCTGGGGGTGGGGTGAGGTGGCAGGGAGGCAGTAGCCCTCTCTGCCCCCTCCCCCAGCCAGCCCTGTGGGCCTGGGAGAAGGGCAGAGAACTGGGGCCTAGGGTAAACTGGACTTTACCCCTTCCTCTCCAGGACTCCCTACCCACTCGGCCCTCATCTCCTGATGAGGCTCACTGCAGATTAAAGGCACCTCGGAGGCCCTCCTTCCCCCCCCCCCAGCTCTCTTCACCGTCCCTGGCTGGAGGAAGGCAGGAAGCTTGTCATCTCAATAATGCAAATGCCTGCTGTCCCCACTCCACAACAGCTGACTTGAAGCGCATAGGAGGTTGGACTTCTTAACAAAATGAGAAATCTGATCTCGAGAAAGAAAACACGGTGTGGGGATTAATCCAGGGCTGCAGCCTGTGGTGAGGCTGGGCCACTGGCCAAGCCCCGGGAAAGGGCACAGGATCCTGGCCACCTGTCCCTGGGAACAGGTACAGAAGCGAGCCGCCCCTCCCGCTCCAGCCACCCTCATTTCTGTTTTCTTTTCACGAAGGGCCTGGCTCCCTCAGGCTGCCTTTCCTGGCCGCTAGCAGTGGAGGGGAATTCTCTTTTCAGGAATTGCTTGTAAACGGAGGGTGACTAAGCTACAAGTCGCAACAACTGGCAGCAGAAACACCGCGGGCAGAAATGCTGGGCAGAGCCCCGGCCCTTCTGCAAAGTCCCAGGAACTGGTCGTGCAGGAAGCGGGCAGCGCCGAGCAGGCGAGCAGCCGCCGGACCCCAGGCCTGGGGCTCCAAGTGAAAGGGGGGCGGGGACCCTCCCCTCTGCCCACCCAGGGCTCCCTCCCCTCCTCTGCCCACACACAGCCCCGAGGTTTTTACAACTAATAAATTCAATTGTGCGGGACTAGAAAGGCTCCCCGGGGGCCGGCCTGCCTCCTCCGAACAATCCCCTCTCCCCCAGAGCCAGGCGAGGGGAAAACTCCTCAGGGGAGGGCAGCCAGGCACCCCCACTCCCCCGGCCGCACTCCAAGAGCCCTGGGGCGGGCCTGAGGCCTCTCCAGGGATTTTCCGGGGCCATTCCTGGAATCCAGTGCCCTACACAGAATCCCGACGACTCTCCCCCAGCCGGAGCTAAGTAATGCCTGCATTGCAAATGTGCTTCAAACATCTGCTGCTGGGCTCGGCCCCTCCGAGGGGGCTCCCAGGCAGGCACCGCATTTGTCCTTGGCAAACCAGAACAGGACAAGGCGGAGGAAAGAGAAAGGCCAGGGAAGGGAAGACAGAGACGGCAGGGGAAGGCGAGGGGACAAAGGCGTCCGAGCACCCCCGAGCCCAGCTCTCGGAGCCTGGGGGCTCCCATGGGCCGAGCCTGCCCTCTTCCCCCACCCCGGCCGCAGCCCGTGACCGACCTGCTCCCGCGCGCTCCGGCCCCGCGTGCCGCGGCTCCCGCGCTAAGAACCCGCGGAGCTGCCGGCCCTCGCCTAAGGGTGCGCGTGGGGCGGTGGGAGGGCAGGGGCCGAGCCCAAGCCTCCACCCAGCCCCGTGCGCCTCGGGCTGAGGCTCGCACCCTCCCCCAGCCCATGCCAGAGGGTCACACCCCTTTCCAGATGTGCCTGGCAAGGACCGCGGCATCTCACCGCCCTGGGGGAAGAAGGGCGCGGAAAGCCCCCGCAGCCGTCTGGGGCGTTTGCCCGTCGGGGCGCAGCCCCCAAGCCGGCTCCCGGAGCTCCCCGGGCCGCAGGGGCTCCTCCCCCACCCCCACCCCGGGGCCAGACCCCCGGGGCCCCTGGCGTCGGCCCCACCCCCCACCCCCGTCATCCCTCCCCCTGCCAGGCGGCCGTCCGGGGTTGGGGCCTGGGGCTCGACAGGGGGAGGCCGGGCGCCCCCCGGGCTGTCACAAAGGGCCAGGCGGGGGGGCTCAGGCCGGCCCGGGCCCTTTGTGAGGGTGGGCACCCCGACCCCTCCCTCCTCCCCCTCCTGCCTGCCCCTCCTCCTGCCTGCTGCCCGCCGCCCGCGGGCGCGAACAAAGCCCGGGCCGGGGGCGCCAGGGACGGGACGGCACGGCACGGGCGGCCGGGGCTCCCCAGCCCACCCCCCGGCCCGCCCGGGGGCCGGGACACACCCCCGGGCCGGGTCCCCCGCGTCGGCCCCCCCCACCCCGCACGCGCGCGCCCCCGCTCGCCCGTCCCGCGGCGCGCCCCAGCTCCGCGCGCCCCCCAGCTCCGCGCGCCCCCGCCCCCGCGCGCGCCCGCCCCTAGGAGCCCCCGTCCTTACCTCGTGTGCATCCGTCCCGCCGGCGGCCGCGCGCGGCGGCGGCGGCGCCTCCCCCGCCCGGCCCGGCCCGGCCCGGTCTCGCCGCCTCGGCCCCCTCGGCCTCGGCCCGCGCCGCCTCCGCCCGCGCCCCGCGCCCCGCGCCCCGCTCCGCGCCCGCTCACGGCCGCCCGCCCGGCGCCATCTTGGAGGCTGGTGACGTCGGCGCCGCCCGCTCCTCACCCCTGACCCACAGCGCGAGCCGCGAGCCGCGAGCCGCGAGCCGGGAGCCGCGAGCAGCCGCGGGCCGGGAGGGGCGGGGCCCGGGAGGGGCGAGGGGGTGGGGCTCGCCGGGGCCCGGCCAATGACGGCGGGAGGGCCCCGCCCCCGGGCCGGGCCAGGGGCCTTGGGGGCGTGGCACTGCCACGGGAGGGCGAATGGCCTGAGGGAAGACATCAAGCCCCGCCCACTCCGGCCCCCAGCACCCCGCCCCTGGGGTGGGGGAACCTAGGCGCAGAGCCCGGTCAGGGGGCAAGAGGACCTGGCCGCAGGAGGGGGCGGGGTTAGGGCGAGGAAAAGAGCCAATGAGCCTCATGGGTGATGTGAAGCCCCTCCCCCTGGCTCCTAGCCAATCCTAGAATTCTGGGGGGGTGGGACCTAGGAAGGGGTGTGGCCAGGACGCAGGACAAGGCCCGAGGGCCGGGTGACAAAATGGGGCCCCGCCCCCCACTCTCCCTTCTCGTCTGTATCCACCCGAGTTGGGGGGCCCCAGAGCAGGAACCAGAGGTCGAGGGGCGGAGCCTGAGGAAGGGGGCGTGGCCATGGCGGGAAGAGGTCATTGGGTGAGGACACACCTGAGCCCCACCCTCTAGCCACCCCCAGGCTAGGGAGGCTCCTAGGGCACAGAGGGCACATGAGGTGGGGGTCCTGGGGAATGTGAAGGTGCGGGGCGCGGCCCCGCGTCCGGGGCGCTCAGCTCTGTGCCCCTGGCACTTTCACCCCAGCAAGCCCCCTGGCACCCAAATGACCCTCCTGACCCAAGAGCCCGACGCCCCAGGAATATTGCCAAGCAGACCCCGACGAACGTTCCGAGAAGCCCTCTCCACTCCGGACCTAGACCCAGATGGCCGACGGCACTCTGCGCCCCCATTGCACGTCCCCAATGTGGGACCCTGTCTCCCAGCAGACCCTGGCTCATCCCGCACACACCAACCCCGACGTCCCAACCAGTGCCGGTCCCTAGTCCGTCCCCAGACTTCCTGATCCCCCCAAATCAGTCCCCCAGCCCCTCCTAGCCTGAGCTCCACGTCAGTGCCCTGTCCCCAGACCTAGAGCTCCCACCCTCGCCTCCAGCTCGCCTGCCTTTGATGCCCTTTCCCCTGCTCACACGGTCTGCAGCTCCACCATGCTCTTCCAGTTCCATGGTGGAAGAATCTCTCATTTCATCAGCGTGGGAACTCCCTAGCCTGAGGATGTTACCACATCCCCCTGCTTTAGGTGGTGGCTTGTTGGAAAGTCAGGGCCCTGCTGAGGGACTCATCCCCCCAGCTTGCTTGGACCAGCTGGTGAAAGTTTCAAGAGCCCAGTATGATTCTAGTTATCCGGGAACAGGTCTCTTCCCTGTATTAAACCATCAGCTCTATGAGGGCAGGAATAGCCTGGGACTAACTTCGAATTTTTCTAAGACCTAATCCGATCTATCCAGCGTTTGCCAGGTTCCCCAGTTACCAATGCTCTCCTCAGAGAATCTCAGATTGTTTTATCTGAATCTGTGTCACATCCCAGAGGACAGAGGCTGTTGTATCTTTGTCCTTCTATCCCTGGCAAACGGACAATGAGCAGACCTAGGATTGGCCAGAGAGAAGCAAGGGGAGGATTACCTTTGGATAATTGTGAGGTGCTCCCAAGAATCCAAGTTCTCCCTGAGACCAAGGTGCATCTTTTTCATATGCTTCTGGTGTGTAGGAACATGCAGGTCTCCAAGGGTTTGAGACAGATGAACCACCCAAAGACTCATGGAGAGTCCCATGGTGACCTTAAGTCTGCCCCAGAGCAGGCTGCATCCATTTGGCCATCCACCAGGACCCCAGCAAGGGGCTGCCATCAATAGACTGGGTATTTCCTGAGTGTGACTCTTCAGTCTTTGCTTGCATGCATCCCAAATAGCTAAACAGTAGCTACGTTCTTTCAGGACTCTTTCACCTCCTTTTCTCTTCATTCACAAAGCCATCATCCCAGTTCATCACCGTCTTCATCTCTTACCTGGACTATTGAAGCAGACTCCTGAGGGGTCTCCTAGTCTTGAGGTTCTACTCACTCCAATTCATCCTGCACAGAGCCTCACAGAGCATAACTTTGCACCCAGCAACCACGTACGTATTTCATTCATTCACAGGACCCTTAGTTCCAGTTTTGCCCAAATTAAATCATAATCGGTCAACCCACAAGCATCTGTGAAGCACCTATTAAATCTCAGTCAACCAGCCAGCTTTTGTTAAGCACCTGCTAAGTGCCAGGCAAGGGGAGATAAAGAAAAGCATGAGGCAGACCCTGCCCTGGAGGAGCTTGCCTGGTAATTGTAAACAACTGTGTCCAAACAAGATGGAGGTAGGGTAGGGCGAAGCCAGAGGAAAGGCTCTGGTGGGAAGGGAGATAGGGAAAGGCCTCTCCTAGAAGTCAGGATTGGAGCTGGCACCTCAAGGGAGCCAGGGAAGCGGAGATGAGGAGTGACAGCAAGCCAGGCATGGGGGCAGCCAGAGAAAAGGCAGGAGCTGAGAGAGGGAGGCAGGCTCACGGGACAGGAGAGTCGATGGGGGGTGGAAGTCGAGGGAGGAGGGGGCCACATTTAAAGGGCTTTCAAAGCCAAACAGGATTTTACAGTTGACTCCCTCCCATTTGTGTGTGTGTTCTTACACCAGCATGGCAATCCTCCACACTTGTGATGCGCTCCTCCCTTCTCCTGGCCAAACCCCTGGTTGCCTTCACCTCCACTTTGGGGGCCTTTCCTGATCCCTCTAGTCACTAATGCCTTTCTCTCCAAAGTCATTTTGTGTCTGCTTTGTATTTTTTCTTAAATATACCTATGTCTGTGCAGGTTGTCTCTTTAGAATGGAGGCTCTTTGAGGGCAGGAGCTGGTTTTGCTTTCTTTGGTATTCCCCAGAACCAGGCACCTAGCAGGCGCTAAGTAAATGCAACAGCTAATGAGCACGTCTTAAATGCTTGGCCATTGATGGAGGTGGAGTATAGGAGAAACCTGAGGGGCAGGACTTGGTTGGCTCCCTCTTTGTGCCCATAGTAAGGCTCCAACCTGGCATCTGCCCAGGTAGGCCACCCTTCCCCTGGGCTTAGAGGAGCATGGTAATCCAGATTTGCCCTCTGGCTGGTTCCACACCCTGCTCCAAATCTGCCTGGCCCCAATCCCTATAGGTTATTTAGTCTTAGAATGTAAGCTCCTTCAGGGCAGGGATTGCCTCTTTTGTCTTTGTCCCAACTTGGGCAAGTAGTAGGAACTAAGTAAATGTTCCGTTCATTCACTCCCAAACAATGAATTATAAAGGCCAGTGGTGTTAGTCATCTCAGAAAAGTAAGATAAAGATGATTCTGCTGGGTCCCAAGTCTCCCAGGTAGTAAGAGACAGGAAGGGTTCCTTGGGATCCCGGTTCAGCAGCCTCGCACCCACCCAGATAGGCACTTGGGCTTCTCAGCCCTCTTCCATATAGTAGCCCCATCTACTATGAGCCTTCTCTTCCTGCTAAACATCCCCAGTTCCTTTGATCTGTTCTCTTTTAATCGCCCCCACTCCAAATGTGACTTTGGTCAAGACTCTTCACTTCTCAGAGCTTCATTTTCTCAAACTGCCAAACAAAGGGGTTGGGCAAGACCAAGGCGGTGTCCCAAGTTGCTTCCATTTCTGGATTCTAGGATCCGAACTATAAGCATTATCATTCAGGGTTTGCTGAGGAAGAAAGTGAGGCTCTGAAAGGTGGCGGGATTTGCCAGAAATAACAGAATGAGTAAGCAGGGAGCAGGGACTTCCACTCATGTCCCCTTACTACGTCCCACACTGCATCCAGTTATCCACCCCTAGCTAGCTACCATCCTACCATTTGCTTCTTGCCCAAGGTTACACATGGGTAAATCAAATTCAACATTGCCATTGCTTGTGGAGAAGACATCAACCCACACAGGATATTCCAGCTCCTTTCTCCAGAATCCCAGCTCTGGGCATTTGCCCTGGCTGCCTCCCACACCTGGAATGCTCCCCATCCTTATAGCTGCCACCTGGCTTCCGTCTAATCATAGCTAAAATCCCATCTTCTACAAAAAGCCTTTGCCTGAGACCCCTTGAAACTCACAGTGCCTTCCTCAGATCTCTCTTGCAGATGGCTGGTTTGTGCCTAGTTGCATGTTGTCTCTACATCCCCCCCCCTCCATCTTCCGTGAGCCCACTGGCTTTCGCCTTTCTTTTCATCCCATTGCGCCCTATGCATCGTATCCCAAAGTATCCCTGGTGCTTGGCACAGAGTAGGTGCTTTACACATCTTTGTTGACTTTGACTTGACAGGCCCTTGTGACTCCCCAGACTAAAAACTCCCTTCCCTGGCTACTACTGAATGACAACTAGCTTTTCTGTGGCACCTTCTGTGTGCCAGCCACCGTGCAAGGCACTTGACTTGATCTTCACAACAACTCTGGGAGGTAGGTGCTATTATTATCCCCATTTTACAGTTGAGGAAACTGAGGCAGGCTAAGTCAACTGTGCAAGGTCACATAGCTAGTGAGTGTCTGAGGCCAGATTTGAACTCAGTCCAGGCCCAGCTGCATGATCTAAGAGGCTTCCCACTACCACTTCTCTATGTAAAAGGGCTCCTTCTATTAGAATGTCAGCTCCTTGAGGGCAAAACCTGCCTTGAATTAGTAGTTGTGTCCCCAACATTTAGCAGGAGGGTAGTAAGTACTTAGTACACTCTTAATTCATTCATTGCTCCCAGACTCCTAGACTCCCAGAATCCCAGAGAGGAGGTGACATGTAGAGGAGGGGGGGCATCTCGCCCAACCCCAATCCTCACAAGGGATCC